CTGGTCACCTGACGAAGCCCTTGGTAACTTTTTAAGGCTGCTTTAGGCTGCATTCCTCAAATTCTTTATTCGTGGCCCTGTAATTAACAGCTTCAGGTTCACTGCGTTAACAGTAGATTCCATAACTTTCCACTTGTTGTGCCCTTGGATGCTGGACTGTTGCAACAAACAGGCAAAGCTGCACATCAACCCTGATTCTCAAAATACGCAACTTTGCCGCTGCAAAAAAAAGAGAGAGAGAGAAACCAAAAAGCCCTACCTGTGGATGCTGTTCTGGAGTCATGTTCAGGTAAAGCATTGTATATGCTCCCTTTCTAAAAGGGTTCCTTTCTAAAGTAAAATCAGAAATGCTGAAAAAGCACCTCTATTTTGAACCTGTTTTCTCATACCACAGTACTTTTGTTGATTTCAAGTGTTCTGTCATTTAGGCTACTGAATCAGACAGAGAACCTGACTTGTCAGTGCGGTTTTGATTTACCCCCTGCCTCGTGTTTTATTGCTAGGCTGTGTTTGTTAATTACCAAGATGCATACTCATTTATGGATAACTCTGTAATATTAGTTTTTAAAAGGGCAAGAGGAAAAGATGACAGGTGTCCATTTTATGGCAGGAAAAATAATACACAAACTGGATGTTTTTATAGAGGCATTTCCTGCCACTATACTTTATTGTATTCTACACATTTTTTTTTAAATTGTATTGACATGAATGGTATTAAATCAGTGTCATTGGGAACTAATGGAAGGAGGTGGTTCAGTACAAACTATTTTACTCTTCCAGCTTTGCAGTTAAAGGTCAGACTGACATTTTAGGTGAGATACAATTTGAATGTTTTTCTCAGGAAGAGTCAGGAAAAGACACTGTGCGCTTTTTGAGCTTAGAGCTGCTGTGACTACATTATGTACCAGGACTGAAAGGTACTGACAGTGAAATGTGTGCTGGAGGTGACCTCTTCCTACTGCATGCCTAGCAGAATTATATAAATGGGAAGCTGGCTTCCATTCCATAATGTGGCCTATTATATACCGTATATATATATCTGTGTGTGTGTGTGTGTGTGTGTGTACACACACACACACACACACACACACACACACACACCCCGTATATACACAAGACTGGATTGCAATGGACAGGGAAGTGAGTGTGCAAAGCAAGGTAGCATTTTAAAAATTTAGCTTATACTTCCATGTGCAGTGTTGCCAAGAACTGAAAAAGGGCTGCTTTTCTTTAGCAGGGTAAAGAGAAGGGTCATAGTGAAGTAAGAAGTTGGATTGCATTTAGGATATTCACATAGCCCTCTTATCAGTGATAAGAGTATCACTCAGAGAGAATAACAATCACAAGGGTGAACAGGCAAACTTGCTTTTTCGCTTTGGGTGTCAATTAGCCCATGAGATTAGTGACATGAGATTTTTTTTATTTAATAGGTCCATCAGTTCATTAGCGGGCACATGCCAAATTCAAAAATTAGAGAGTGCTATCGCTTGTGCCTTGGAGTGGTTATCTCTCTACTCTACTAAGGCAGCCAGCCGCAGACTTTTGCAAATTGTAAGCGGGATTGTAAGCCTGACTTTATACCACAGGCACTGTTGAGTGTGTGTGTGTCCAGTGTACAATGTGCTAACATTGACAACACGAGTTCTGAGATGTGCTGAATTCATGTTTATATTTATCATTACAATATATCGCACCAATCCTCCAAGGAGCTCAAGGTGGCACCTGTAGGTCTCCTTGTTAATTATCTTCAGAACAGCCCTGGGAGGTAAATTGGTCTGAGATACTGTGAGTGGCCCAAGAGCATCCAGTGAGTTTCATGGCTCAGTGGGGATTTGAACCCTGCTCTCCCACATCCTAATCCAACAATCTAAGCACTACGCTACACTGGCTCTTCTTCATACATCACAGCTGAGAGCTCAGGAGCGGACCTGAACTCAATCTGGAAGTTTGTGGTGCGGCTGTCAGATCGCTTTTGTGCTGTGCTCATATGGTAAAGGTGTTTGTGTGAACCAATGCTCCCCTCAGGCTACTGTACTTTAGGCTACTGTATACTCCCATGGCAGTCGTGTGCAAACCTTGCCATGATGTATAAACCAGCTATATGTTTAGAGCAAAACTCTGCTGAAAAGAGTTACATTTGCCTCTAATTCTAATTATACACTGAAGAGATCCAGTTGCAGGAAGCCTGATGGCACACCATCTGTTATTATTTCAGGTATGAAGCCAGGAAAAGCAAAAACCAATAGGTTCTTTTATATCTATTATATAGGTGGGTTTTTTGCTGAATGCAAAATATTGAGGCTTCTTCTTTTCTAAGTCCTGTTGTATTTTTTAAAAATATCCTCATGCTGACAGATTGCTAGCAGTTGAAAAGTTGACTGAACCCAGATCCTGCAGGTTTATGTGGCTACCCTTGACATTTGTTTTCTTTTAAAAATGTGCTATACATATTGCACAGACCTGGCTAAGTGAGTTTTTACAGGAGGTTGTTGTTTGCACCATGGCCTGTGTAGCTGCTATAATTGCACAGCCATCAGTGACGTGTGTGTGTGTGTGTGTGTGTGTGTGTGTGACCCTTCAACTTGGCTGTTGCTGTTGCTGGCAAGTAAGGTGCTCTTGCCCTAATGACAGGGCATGATCTAGCTGCAAAAGACAAGGATTAGATTGGGGATGCAAGATCCAGACTCTGCAGGAGGGGTCCATTGTGGGCTCCTGCTGTGTGCATCTGCAGAGAAAGTCTGGATAAATAGGTCCAACAACATATTCTATCATGGCAGAGGGGTAACATGGTGGTGCTGGCAGGGGCACATTCCTCCTGACACCCTGCCATGTCGTGAGCTGTTGTGCTTCTCATGGCACCCTGCAGCCTGAGGGGCAGGTGAGAAGGATGCAACAGGGCAGGGCACACAGCAGTGCTGTGTTTGCAGAGTACAATGAGCTGTTACATCCTTCTCACCTGCCCCCCAGCTGGTAGAGGAGGACGCAACAGGCTTGAGCTGGCGGCTTGAGGAGGACACAACAGGAATGTGCCCTGCCAGCCCTGCTCCGTTTTTGCAAGTCTCGCAAAGCGATGTTGGGCTTGCAGGGTGCCGTGAGTGCACCTCTCAAAGCAGAGCAGCATTATCTGAGTCGGGCGGCCGTGCTCTCCGCTGTGTGGCCGGATGCAGCTTGGCCCTGCTTAGTTCCTACAGGCGCATGCATGCCTCTTGTGCCAGCGGGGAATGCTCCACCACTGTACTATGGCACAAACTAGAGGGAGGACAAATAAATGCCAACGGAGGAGCGTGCTTTCACCAATGAAAGTGCTCCATTCTGCTCCATTCTATCAAAATACATGGGGACGTTAGCTCAAAAGCCTTGCAGTTAGATGCTAAACATGGCTCCAGCCCAAAATAATGGGAATTCCAAATTTTATTTTCCATTGAAATGTATGAAGAGATAATACGACCTCATAAGGAATCAAACGCCTGGCCTTTCTGACTTGTATTGGCCTTCCTTAATCTTTCCCAGCCCTTCCGCCAGGGTTCCATTTAACTTGAGATGCTGGATAGTGAACCTGCAACCTCAGTGCAAAACATCGCCCCTTCCTCTGGTGCTTGTGCATGTGGGTTCCATTGTACAACAGAACTCATGCATGAACCCATTGAATAGGGGGGTATCAATTTAAAGCTTAAGGAGTCTATATAGTTGATTTGCCCCCCACCTTTCTAACAGATATGCGTTGCACAAAGTGGCTCCCATCAGTTAAAACCACAAAATAAAAATATTACAACAATGCAAAAATCACAACATTACAGTCACAAATTAAGAATATGCGGATAGCAGCGAATTTGACAAGGGCAGGGACAGCAGATGAAATGCACTTTCTCACGAAAACCAACTCAGCCTGACAAATTAAAGGTCTACTTGTGATCACTTTGCATAGCATATGGTGTGTCCCCCGCCGCTCCCCCAAATATTACTTTTCATTTTAAGTAAGTTTCCAGCCCTTCTTACTGGAGGCAGGGTGGGAGGGAGCTTAATAATGCACAGAAAATATTTGCTGCAAATGTTTCTGAGAAGCACATGTGGTTTTGGCTTTTAGGGTCAAAGGAATGTTCCTGTTGTCTTACCATTCACTAGTATATTTCCTCATCATTGGCATCTTCTTTGTTCTTTAATGCTCTCTATATTTTCTCTAATGCTTCCATCATCAGCATATAATTCCTGTTGAAATCAATAAAGTTTGGGGCAGATCTTGCTATTCCGTTATTTATCTTCGGCAAAACACATCTAATTTCATAACCTGGTTAGATGGGTGGGGAATATTTATTTATTTTATATCCCGCCTTTCTCCCAGTGCAGGACCCAAAGCAGCTCATTACATGAATAAAAAACAGATTCTGCTTTAAGAAAAGAAAAAAGACCAATAAATTGTTTTATTTATTTAAACGTATTTAATTGTTTTTAATAAGTTACGATATATAGTTGAGTGCATTTCACTTCTACATTGAAATGCTTAAAAATTTAATATAGTACTGTGTTAAATATTAAATACTGTAAAAAGGTAAAGGGACCCCTGACCGTTAGGTCTAGTCGTGGACGACTCTGGGGTTGCGGCACTCATCTCGCTTTACTGGCCAAGGGAGCCGGCATACAGCTTACGGGTCTTGTGGACAGCATGACTAAACAACTTCTGGCGAACCAGAGCAGTGCACGGAAACACAGTTTACCTTCCTGCTGGAGCGCTACCTATTTATCTACTTGTACTTTGCCGTGCTTTCAAACTGCTAGGTGGGCAGGAGCTGGGACCGAGCAACGGGAGCTCACCCCGTCTCGGGGATTCGAACCGCCAACCTTCTGATCGGCAAGCCCTAGGCTCTGTGGTTTAACCCATAGTGCCACCTGCATCCCTATTAAATACTGTTTAGGTGTCTTTGTGGTTATGCCCATGATTATTTCTTTTAAAAAGTTTTTTTTAGAAAGCCAAGCATTCTTGTTAATTTGTTTCTTCTTCTCAGATTATGGCAGAAGAGGTCCAAAAATATGTGAAAAAGAATCCAATGTGTAGGAGAGGGACACTTTTTTTATGATGGATTATTGACTGAAGCACGTTCTGGCTGAACAATCAACTATGCACCATCTCTTTGGACTTGTTTTGGGACAAAAGGATCTTTCACGTGCAGGGGACCTCTTCTCCTTAGACGATTCTGAAATAGAAGGATGTCTGTCAGAAGCTCTCGAGCAAATAAAAACTATTAGTTCATCTCCAGTAAGTAATGCATTTATTGCCCCTTCTTTGATTGTGAGATGGAATGTATAATAATGGATCAGAAAATGTGAGCATCTCAAAAGAGCTGAAGAATGTGAGTGAATGCAGAGTGGATGCAGAATTTCATCCTCAGTTTACCATAGGTAAAATGGGACCGAGCTTAACACTATTATTGTGAGAATAAATTTCCAGTCATCCAGTGGATGTCATCCACTCCAGTCATCAACTCCAATGGGAGAAAGGGGGGGGGAGATAGTTTTATAATAGTGTGAGGGTTTCAAAATGGGCCAGCCTCAATTATGTACACCTGAAAAGAAGTCCATTTTTAGCAAGGTGGGGAAGAGGGAAATAGGTATTCCCCCCTCATTTTGCACATGTTCCTTTACATTGCACCAACTCTTAGTTGTTAACATTTGAAATCCATTTCATAAAAAGATTTTCCTTAAAAAACCGAAAGTCTAAAAGTTAATTCCCACTAGAGGGCATCAGTGATACATATTTTTCGTTGCACACACGCTTCCATATGATTTCCAAATTCAGATAATTCAGTTAAGATGTCACGTGAATGAAGCCTTAGAAAATTACAGATATCATTATTCTCCAACATTCCCCCAAAGAAAAATCACGGAGATGGACAGAAAGGAATGAATAAAAGGAGTAGGATAGAGAACCTTTTCCTTTCAAAGGATGGAATAAGAATTTGAGCCTTTTCCGCTGTGGGGGGGGGGGAAGAAAGATTGGGAAGGAACCTGAGAGGGGCTGATAATAAGTGCACATCAACACCAGCACATGAGGTCATCCCTTCAAATTGATTGGCAGTAGGATCGGAGGAAAGTAGTACCATCCACAGTGTGTCACCAATTTATAGGGCTCGTCTACACTTCTGCATGTCCAGTACTGAGAAAGCAAGGGTCCAAGCAGTTTCCCATTTGTCCCATGCTTTCTAGGTTTGGGTCGGTGTGGTTTTGCTTTTGCCACACTGCTTTCCCTCAGAAAACACACACTTTAGAGCTGGATCGGAGTAAGTGTCAATCAGGAGAAAACTTGCTTGTAGAGCAGTGACATAAATAAAATTGAAAGTTCTGCCTAAAGCTATAGATTGGTATGGTGTATGGGAGAGATTTAACCTCCTTGGTTCATTCTGATGACACTTGAGTACCGTACCTAAGCCTCACAAACTGTTTTGCCTCAATCAGGACTACCAAACAAATGACAACGACCAGGCAGTTGTGGAGATCTGTATCACACGAATCACAACGGCCATCAGGGAAACAGAATCCATAGAGAAACATGGGAAAGCCCTTGTTGCACTCTGGGAATCTTGCTTAGAGCACAATCTGAAACCTTCGGGGAAAGATGAAGATACACCACACGCAAAGATTGCTTCTGATATTATGAGCTGCATTTTGCAGGTGAGAGTGTTATACCAAAGCACATTGTCCTTGGCAATGATCAATGCTTTTTTTCACAAACAACCAGCTTTTTTGGTTGACTGGAGAACTGCCCTAGACTTGATTTGGAACCTCCCCATAGTCACAGGCTTTCTCAGGTACCGTATTGGTGTGAAAATAAGCTGCACACAAATATAAGCCGCACCTTTAAAATTGGAGGGAGGAAAAGGAAAAAAAAGACAATACTCCCCTTCCCCTTTCTTTACGGCGGCTTGGGTGAGGCTTGGGAGCAGTGGGAGGGCTGCACGCCGTTGTCCCATGCTTCCAGGCTGCTTCCTGGGGGACGGAGACGTGCTGCTTTGCCGGCAGTCTTCCCCCTTCATTTTGATAGCTGGGGGAGGCTTGGGAGTTGTGGGCGGGTGCTGCGCTGTTGTCCTGCTCCCCCCTGGCCCTTCTGGGCAGCTGTTTCAGCAGCAATATCATAAGGTTGCGATTGCAAATATAAGCCACACTTTAACTTTTCCGGATCGGAATTTGGGGGGAAAGTGTGGCTTATATTCGGGCCAATACGGTAACTCTTCCTCTCTCACACAGCCCAGCTCACCTTTTGGGTTATCTCCAGGCATTCAGGGATGTGGGTGGCGCTGTGGTCTAAACCACAGAGCCTATGACTTGCCGATCGGAAGGTCGGTGGTTCGAATCCCCGCGACGGGGTGAGTTCCTGTTGTTAGTCCCAGCTCCTGCCCACCTAGCAGTTCGAAAGCACGTCAAAGTGCAAGTAGATAAATAGGTACCACTTTGGCGGGAAGGTAAACAGTGTTTCCGTGTGCTGCTCTGGTTCACCAGAAGCAGCTTAGTCATGCTGGCCACATGACCTGGAAGCTGTCTGCAGACAAACGCCGGCTCCCTCAGCCTATAGAGCAAGATGAGCTCGCAACCCCAGAGTCGTCCACGACTGGACCTAATGGTCAGGGGTACCTTTACCTTTTACCAGGCATTCAGTGGTGAATGTGTCTTATCACATTACCTTATCAGTGCATATATATCCTGTATTTTGCTGTGAATTGTTTGGTGCATTGTTTTTAAAACCAGCTTCACACCAATTGAAGTCCTTAAGCCATTCCTAAGTCATCTCCAGCCAAAATATGAACAACTTCACAAAGGGTAAAGACATTCCTTTGTTTCAATGCCTCCCTGTGTGTACCCAAATTGAAGTGTATCAGACACTAATTACTATGTTGATGTGAGCAGCTGGGGGGGGCAGAGCTGTGAAACACTCCTGAAAAACCCAACAAGTTTGCTGTTCTCTAACTTGGTCATGTGAATACACCCTTGTTTTCAGTCTTAATTCTTAATCCTGCCATTCCTGACTGCAAACTTTCAACAGCACTAAAACGTTTCTTGCTATCTCACCCTGGCTCCCATTCAGGACTAACCCCAAAGATTTGTCTTGCTTTAAAAATCATATTAATCTGTTTTGACTCTTGGTTGTTTTCATCCAAAAGGTCGAGAACATGATATTGGAGAGGGAGAGAAAGGGCTCCTAGACCTGGTTTCCCATCAGTGCGGTGGCAAATTAAAACTCTCTGTATGCCCAGTTCTCTCTGTTTCAGCTTCAGAATTCTAGGACCAGCTCCAAATAAACATTTTATGCAATGGAAGTTGAAAAAAGTATCCTGGATCCAAGACAGGTGTTGATTTCCAGAAATATAACTCTTTAATAAACAGAACAAGCCCCCATTGTCTCCACTTCGCTTGTTATTGTAACGCTGTCAAAACAAAGGGCCTTGTTGCCTGGAGTATATTAATTGCCTTAAAATCAGTTGTACTTGTAATCAAGATGCAAACAAGGGGCATGTGATCAAAAGCCTCCCACTGAATTTGATGCTCCTTAGGCTGCAATCTCCTAAGTAAGTTATTCCCATTACAGTATTTTTATACAAAGAAGTACACCTGAGAGAGACAAAGAGAGAAATGCTATCAGTTGCCGTTCCTGCCAGAAAGTCCAGAGATGGTACAAGTTGCCTGAGAAATCCAAGCTATTGGGAAAGGGATTGGAAAGTGCAATTGCCTTTTTGTGTTGGTGCAAAAACAAAGCAAATCGTAGCTCATTGTAGAGCACATATGTGGCCTGCAGAAGTTCCCAGGTGTAATCGTAGCACAGTGATTACACAAGGTGTAATTGTAGCACCTTGGGCCTAGAGACCAAATGCAGCCCATCAGTCCTCTCTGTCTGTGTTATGTACTGAAGTTCTCACCCTGGGCCAGCAGGGGAATACTGTAGATAGTTCAGGTCCACATATGCAAATAAGGGATCGAGAGTGACGGTCAGTGATTGGATAGTTGCAGAAAATGGTTACTGTTGCGTTCTAGTGGAGCTCTATATAAGCAGGCTGGCTGAACCCTTCAGTTCAGTTCTGTTCTGGCCTGTGAATAAACAAGAGCTGTTTGAAGAATCGCTGTGTCGTTTGATATGTTCACCCACTACTTAACAGTCTGGCCCTCAGGATTCTTCCCAGGCTACATTCCTCACTTCTTCCCATCACCCTTGAGTGCTTTTGCCTGGCTGCAACATGCTCAATAATGCCACTTCTTTGCTTGGATGGAGGGCAGAGAGGGTGAGTGAGTGTGTGCAGGAACTAGGCTTAGTAACATTCACTTTTGTGGCTTCACTTTTGCACCTGGCCCCTTGCACCCCTGACACGTGGCCTTTGGAACATTGGCTCACCACCCCTAGCATCTCAAGTTAAAAGGATCAAGTGGCCAGTGACTGGGGGGAAAACCCACCTGAGATCTTGGAGAGCCACTGCCAGTCAGTGGACAATACTAGTCTATCTGGGCAAATAGTATGACATGGTATAATGCAGCTTTCCACATCGCTAGGATCCAGATCTCAATTTATGTGCATCTGTGCATGGTCTGCATTGATGGTCCCACATCGTCTGAAACATTGTGAGGGATCTCAGGGCACACCTTTTAGGCCATAGTGGACAGTGGGGTGGGTGGTAATGCTCACCTGGCCCCCAGTTGTTCACCTTGCTGCTGCATACTGATGCGAGTAGAAAAAAGTCAGCAGTGAGGTTGGCTCAGTGCAAACCAACAGAGCCAGTCCAGCACTCCTGCTGGTCTGTTTGCACTGCACCAGCCTCACTGCCACCTTGACCTTCTATGTTCTACTATGCAGCCGTGACACTTGCAAGCGGAGGTTGGATGAGTCCCATCACCCCACCCCTCCCCCTGCTGCTGCTCTCAGGTCAAAACATTGCAGCTTTGTCTTGAAAAACCATTCCTTCAGTTTTTACATAGACGGACCATTGCTGCTTTTCTACAATAGCGTGTAAAAACTTGTGATAATTTTCACAGCTAATATTAAAAGGAGAGTCCAAGAGAATCCCAAGATGGTGCTAAAAGGAACATGTTTAGAGAAGCTCCATGGTCTTAGCTGATGGACCCAAGCAGATTCTGGTTCAATGACTTGTAATAAATGTTGCTTTTTTGGTGCTTCTGTTTTCCTCAACAGAATTATAACCGTCCTCCCATCATGGCATTGGCTGTCCCTGTCGCAGTCAAGTTTCTGCAGAGGGGTAACAAAGAACTGTGCAGGAACATGTCGAGTTATCTCTCCCTTGCTGCAATTAGCAAAGCAGATCTGCTGGCCGAGCACACAGAAACCATTGTAAAAAGTGTCCTGCAAGGTAAGAAATATCAGAATTGTTCTATTCTGATTTGCCAATTTGGTCCTGTAAGGTTTTCTATACATGTGCTGTGTTTTTTTAAAAAATAGATAAATAAAATCTAAAGTTTTACAGTCAAGATGGTTTCAGAAACAGCAATCTGAATGCATGCCTTAGATTTCATGTTCATGCAGTCATGTGCAGGGGACTCCATGTGATTATGGGGCCATGTTCTTGGCCATACTGCCCCCAAATTTTGCAGATTCCTGGCTCAGTCCTTGATGCAGATTGAGTTTGGACTTCAGGAGTGGGTTAGACAGTGTATGTGAGATTGGAGCAAAAACAAGGTCTCACTTCCCTGTCAATGTGTGGGCCCCTTCAGGGTGAGTAATGTAATGTAACATAATGGGTAATGTGTGTGTGTAAGGGGGGGGCAGGCCTTTTGTTGGGGGGGGAGAAGCTCAGTTTGCTTTGTTTTTTTATTGATTTTGGGGGCAGCTGCCCTCCTGCCCCCCTGGCTATGCCTGTGTGTGTGTGTGCAGCCTTCCACTACATAGTGTCTTCCAGATGTGTTGGGCTACAACTTCTAAATCCCTGGGCATAATGGACAACGGTCAGGGAAGGCTGCATTATGGAATCAGAGAATTAAAGAGTTGGGAGGAACTCCAGATGTTATCTTGTCTGGCCCCCTCCATGACTGCAAATCATCCCTTCCACTCGAAACAGATAGCGACTTTCTACATAGCTCAGAATCTCACACCAGGGAGTGTCTGCAAGAGGATTCGAGCAGGCATTCCAGAGGTTCCCGATTGGTTTCTATAGCTGCAAAGCACCCATAAATGCATTGACGGAATTGGTGAAACCTGACAACAATAGCAAACATTTTCTTTTCTTTTTTTAATTTGGGCATAATTCTGCTGAGTAGAATTACCACCTCTTTTTTAAAAATGAACACCATCCTACCCCCTTACCAAGGAGTAAGTCCCATTGAATATGTCCTTATGAGGAGACACTGGTAAGATTGCAGTGGGTTGGGAAGTGGGATACTCCTCCATGATATGCACACACACATCCCACCAGCACTTTTTTTCTGGGGGCACTTAAGGGTATGCAATACCAGCACCTTGCCCACCCCGCCCCCACTGTTTAAAGGTGACAACTTCATGGTGAGTCCTGGCATCTTTCTTTCTATTTTTAAAAAAAGAAGCACTGCACCCCACCACATCAGGCATGTTGGGTCAACCCCAGGAAATCGTTCCACTGTATACACCTGGAATTTACCACTCAAACAATTTTGGAGTCAGAGTGAAACTAGTCTTAGGGAAAACACATCAAAATGCAGCATTTTCAGAAGAAACCAATGGATTGTGCGTAATTGTGGATAACGTCAAGTGTACTTTAGTTCAAAAACAGAGGTGGCAATGTGCTGAAGCCAGAGTAAACTGCCCTGAGACCTCCGGGTATAGGGCGGTATATAAATTCAATTAATAATAATAATAATAATAATAATAATAATAATAATAATAATAAAGGGTATTGTGTACATACCCTGAGTGTATGTGTAAAAACTAGGCTGCTGTTTACTCCTGTGTCTACCACTTTCATGCCATTCCTTGCTTGCTATGGGTCAATTTTTTATAAATTACGTGCAACAATGACTCTATCATTAACTTAAATATAGTTAAGAGTTCTTCGTAGTATTTAACTTATATCCCATTTATTTTCTTTCTTCTTTTCATTTCCATCATTCGACCAGTAGGTGTTGCTCTGGATATCTAAGATGAAATTGCAAGGAATGTTTAGTTTTGTAGAGATGCTGTAGGAACTAAGAAATAAGCAGGCTGCCTTCTGTTGTTATTATTATTTGTAAGAAAGCGGGAGAATTTGAAAAATATATATACATGAATGAGCAGACACTCTAATCCATAGACAGCCTATGTGCATGCAAAAATGTGCTTCTGTGCACATGTTCCTAACTTGTCTGCATTTTTGTGTATGCAGTTGGATGCTAGGTGCAATTTTCCAGCTGTGGGGTGTGTGTGCATAGAGCTGTTAAATCTATGATAGTGTTGGCCAGCTGTTTGGGACCCGGACAGTTGATACTGGGTTCAGATTCCCCTACTTTGGCTATCTCTCCCAGTCGTACTTTGAAATCACAGAATCACAGAATTGTAGAGTTGGAAGGGACCATGAGGGTCATCTAGTTGAAGCCCCTGCAATGCAGGAATTCTTTTGCCCAACGTGGGATTTGAACCCACAACCCTGGGATTAAGAGTCTCATGCTCTACTGACTGACCTATCCCAGGATTGAATTTAGGACCTTCTATATGCAAAGCCTGTTGTCTTTGTCCATGGAGTTTTCTTGGCAGGGATACTGGAGTGGCTTGCCGGTTCCTGCTCCAGGTGGATCACGTTTGGTCAAAACTCTCCACTATGACCTGTTCATCTTGGGTGTCCTGCACGCCATAGTTCATAGCTTCCCATGGACTGCAAGAAGATCAAACCTATCCATTCTGAAGGAAATCAGCCCTGAGTGCTCACTGGAAGGACAGATCCTGAAGCTGAGGCTCCAATACTTTGGCCACCTCATGAGAAGAGAAGACCCTGGAAAAGCACAAGGAGAAGGGGACGACAGAGGACGAGATGGTTGGACAGTGTTCTCGAAGCTACCAGCATGAGTTTGACCAAACTGCGGGAGGCAGTGGAAGACAGGAGTGCCTGGCGTGCTCTGGTCCATGGGGTCACGAAGAGTCGGACACGACTAAACGACTAAACAAAATATGCAAAGCAGATGCTCAACCACTAAGCTAAAACCTTTCCTTTAAAAGTACCCAAGAGCTTTTCAGTTTCTTTAGTGCAATTAACTGGGATTAAAACTTCATGTTTTGCTAGCACAGCTGTTTAAAGGACTGGGCTTTAAGGGGCTTGGTATAAGTACATCTGTGGTTCCCTTGTTGCCCTTGAGCTGATGTAATCAGCAATTGCAGCATTCTGCACTAACTGCAGCTTCTGGCTCAAGCGCAAGGGAAGCCCCACGTAGAGCGCATTGCAGTGATCCAGTCATGAAGTAACCAACGTGTTAACTACTGTGGCAAGGCTTTCCCCTTGCACTGACAGCTGTTGACACAAAGGTGGTATTAAGCTATCTATAATCTGCTATACAGCTTCTCCTTCTGCTGGTGCAGAAGTTTAAATGATTCTATTCCTGGCCAGCTAGCTCACTGGAGTCCATTTACTTGTTCCCTTTTAGGATAATTCCCTATATGGGACAATCAGAGACCTCATCCCTGCTGTCTTCTGTTCCTGCCTTCCCCATCTTGGTGCCCTCTGGATCTTTTGTACAACATCTCCTATCAGCCCCAGCCAGCATGGCCAGGGATAATGGGATTTGGAGTCCAATACTTCTGGAGAGCATGAGGTTGGAGACAGCTTTTGAAGTTCTCATAGAGCAGGTTTTGCTGGAATGACCAAAGATCTAGTACAGGCCTTGATTTCATCTGGCTTAGTTTAGTTCAGTTTTATTTGGACAGTGGCCATTGAGTATTACTCACTTCTCAGGCCCCTGAATATGAACTCTTACGTGAGATTATTCTGTATGCAGAGAAGCATACAGTGGTACCTTGGTTCTCAAACTTAATCCGTTCCGGAAGTCCGTTCCAAAACCAAAGTGTTCCAAAACCAAGGCACGCTTTCCCATAGAAAGTAATGCAAAATGGATTAATCCATTCCAGACTTTTAAAAACAACCCCTAAAACAGCAATTTAACATGAATTTTACTATCTAACGAGACCATTGATCCATAAAATGAAAGCAATAATCAATGTACTATACTATAAAATAAATAAGACAGTATTGTAGATGATTAAAAAAAAAAAATCTTACCTGCACTGATGATCATTGTTTGGATGGGGAGGGGGCTTTTATCCATTTCCACAGTCACACAGTCAATCAATCAGTCAATCAATCAATCAATCAATCAATCAATCAGTCAGTAGCTGAACTGGGTTCCACACAGTCACAAGAACAAATTAACCGAAAAAGCCTCAAAAACTAAATAGCAAAATAAATAGCAGAAACAAAAGCGCCAAACTTAATCCATTCCGGAAGTCCATTTGACTTCTGAAATGTTTGAAAACCGAGGCACAGCTTCTGATTGGTGCAGGCGCCCTGGAAATAATAGCAGACAGCCGCATCGGACATTCAGCTTCTGAAAAACGTTCGAAAACCAGTACACTTACTTCCAGGTTTTCGGTGTTTGGGAACCAAGGCATTTGAGAACCAAGGCATCACTGTACATAGATTGTATGGACAAGAAAGACAAGAGGAAAGAGACATGCCATTTCAAAGCTGTGCTTGCTTTGGCAATTCAGACCTCTTGAATAAAATTATAAGAAATGCCAGTCTGATAAAGGATTTTTATTTACAGTACAATTTTATAAAAAATAATTTCAATAATGTTAGTACAAAATCAATTTACAATATAGTACAGCTGTATCCATTCCAAACAAGAAAATTACAATTATCTGAATGCTAGGTTGGTTTCCAGTATAAATAATATCTTGGACACGGCACTAGCTTTATTAAGGTGTACATATCAGTTGCAACAAAAAACAAAACAAAACAGCAAACGTTACTTCAATACTCTTATATGGTACATCTGTAAAATTCACATTACTAATATAAAATCTACAAACAGGGGATATCCAGAAGACAGCATATTAGCTCTGCAGAAAAAGAGCTCCAGCCATTTGTTTGCATATATTTACTTAAGGAAAGTTATTGAGCCAAAATCTGTCCTCGGATTATCATGAATGACACCTATTTGCTATGAGTGAGAACAGCTTCTGCACAAAGGACTGTTATTACAACATAATTATTGAATAGGTTTGCAAACTACTTTTGATTATGTTTTAACTTTTGCTTGCTGAAACAACATTTCACCCACACCTCAATTTATTGCTGCATTCTTACAGTACTAACTTGTCATGAGACATATTTAAGAGCACATAGTATGGCTGCCA